GGGTTGCGGGGACAACGTGGAGGACGAGTGGTTCATCGTCTACCTCGTCCGGGAGATCACCAGGGAGTTCCCGGGCCTGGCGGCCAGGTAACGGGCCCCGCTGAGGTGGCGGCGGTGGGACCGGGCAGGGAAGGGGCAGCAGCGCCGCTCCTGGTAGGGGCTGGCGGGATGCCGTGTCTTAACATTAAATAAACAATATTAACGCAGACGTGGGGTTAGGAGCGTGTGTTACTGTGCTGGGCGAGACTTCCCCTGATAAGAAACTGATTTCTCCTTGACCAGGATCGATGACAACGACGGGGAGTTTCTCTTGATAGAAGCAGCTGATTTTCTCCCAAAGTGGCTGAATCCCGAGAACAGTGACAACAGGGTGAGTAAAGCTGCTGTGCCGGTGGGCAAGTGGCTCGCAACAGCCTTGTACTTCGGAGCGGAGGATTTCTCTTGCGTCTCTATCTCGCCAAGGGGTCTGGCTGCCGCTGAAAATCCCTTACTGCTGAAGAAACTTCTGGTCGGGGCTCAAGACTTGTTTTAATTAGCAGCATGTTTAATTTTCAGCACAGTCTGTTTTCATTCTGGCTTTAATGAGCTGCTTTATGCTTGCTGTGGATGTTGAATGAGAGACTTAACCACTGGAAACTTCTGATACTCAATGCTGCTCCACGTGCGCTTGCAGAATGCTGTGTGTCCTGAGAAAAGTTTGTCCTGAGAAAATGCTGTAGGGGTATCTGGAAATTGTTGCAGGTCTCGAGTGGTTCTTCTAGAATTGGTTTGTTGATGGAAGGAAGGAAGAGAAAGTTCTTAGGCTAATATGTTCTTATACTACTGGCAGAACATTCATATGGAGACTATGGACCTGCCTGCTAGGCTCTGAGACTCTGCAGTTCAGCTATATCTGACTCTTACACATAAATCATTCTTGGAGAGTTGTTCCATAATACAAAGCTGACCGAAATTTTAAAACTTGCTACTCATGGTGGCAAATGTGAAGGCACTGAAGCTGTCCTGCTATTGATTGATGTATAAAATCAGTAAGTTTGGCCAGCTTTCCATTTTCTAGGTTACTGGGGTGCAAGGAAAGCTTGGATGACATGGAAACTATGGAATGTGTGTGGCAGTGTGGTACAAACATACCGTATTCCTCTCCTCAGGAGCAATGTTGGATCCACCTGAGCTTTCTAGCTCACTATAGCCACTTGGATTTTTTCCTACCATATTCTGAGTGCTCAGGCAGGAGGGTTTGCTGCCCTCAGACTGGGGAATCCTCAAGACTGGAGCGTTGCTGACTCTACAAGGAGACAGACTGGGTCTGGTATAGGTGAATTAATAAGAGCACTGCTTTGCCTGGAGTCTGCAGCCAGATCATCTCACTGTGGATGACTGCTAGTAGTTACGTTACCGAGTTTCTTAGCAATGCATTTAAATGGAAAGAACTTACTTGTTCATTAGGAAAGATTTGTTCAATTTTCTTTTTTCCTACCATAAGACTTAAAAAGGGTGGAACACAAGACAAAAACTAATTGTAAACCTGTATCTGGACCATCAGGGCTGTATTTTTCTTCCATTTGATGGAACAGATGGAGTGAGGGAGTTGATAATATTACATTCAGTTCTTTTCTTAGGATCAGGAACCAACAGAGGTCACATGTTGCACCTGAAATAATGCTTTTTAGTCCCTGTCCTATTCTTTAGCAGTTGGGTTATGCTGTCTGATCATGAAGCAAATCTGTAGTTGAGGAGAAACTTTTGGTATTACTGTTATTAAGGAAACAATATATATTTGACCAAACTTGTTGCAGTTAAAATAGGGGGTTTTATTTACTGGTTGGATCGTGGTCTCTGGCATCTGTATTTACCTCATCTCCCATTAAAAAAAAATATTATGCTGTTTCCTGTATTATTTCTCTATTTGTACTTCAGTATTCTCCATGTTTAAACAAACGCATTCATATATGAAATTAAATTCTCCATTGCTTAGTGTGTGACTGCTCTAATCCTGTCTGATGAGAATGTTACTGTCTGCCAGGTGTTCTTTTACAAAGGAGAACTGCACATCATTCC